CGTATTTTATCATCGCCGCCAGGGAAGTCTTCTGTTACTGTTGCCATTTTGGTATTTGAACCATCACACCTGTACTATACCAATTACGGTAATATTACGTTGCGTGTGACATCTAAACAAAATCTAGAATATTCCACCCAGACACAGTACGTTTCTAGAACATTCTCAGTGACACGGAAGTGGTACATAAGTCGTATGCGACAATTGTTTTCAACAAGATTATAAACATTGGGAGAAAATTTGCCAGTACCTTATCACACATTATGTCAACAAACAAATAAACCATGAATGGTTACTCTTTGATGGCTTAACTATCTGACGTTCCTGCAATTTGATTGGTACCGACAACAAATCGTATGGGAAGTAAAAAAACTACATCGTTCTGTCAGGCATGTGTTGAGTTTGGAGCACCGAGGAGGACGCAACCTAGTCAGGCTAGTCAATGTGTTGCGAGGTGTGAGCTACTGCTCGCACTCACGTATATTGTTTCTGCTGGTTCTCATGCAAATTAGAGTCAATGATGCGTTTTCTACTAATTCACTGTTCATCTCAGTTTCCTGTGACAATTGTCAGACTTGCCATAAAACGTGATTTAGATATCTTTTGGGTTGACTTTTGACAAAATTATGTAACCAATCCCACCATGAATACAGTAAGTATTACAAAAAAGTAAAATTAAGTATTTTACTCCTGAAAAACCTCTACTATATTCTTGCAAATTAGGTTATTAATACATGTATACACAAAATTCAACCAAAAATTAATCAATTCTGTGCATTATCCCAGAGCATTTACATACCAAATTTCATTGAAATTTGTTCAATATTACATGAGAAACAAGTGTAAATGCTTGGTTAATTAATATGGTAATTGGGTAATTAATATGCACAGAATTTCAGCCACAAACTAATCAGATCTGAACATTATTCTAGAGTATGTACTAAGTTTCATTGAAATCTGTTAGTACATGAGAAACAAATGGAAATGCTTGAAATCAGTTAATATGCAAATTGGGCAATTAACATGCAAGGAATTTCAATTAAAAACAAATCAGGTCTGTGCATTATTCCAGAGCATCCATGTACAAAGTTTCATTGTAATCTGTTCAATAGTACATGAGAAACAGGGGAAAATGATTAAATTTGGTTAAATAATATGCAAATTATGTAAAAAAAAACATAGAACTCCCATTGTCAAAAAGACAGTAATACATTCAAAGAGGAGAATATTGTTGTATCAATAACCTTTTTTTATTGCTTCCGAATCAAGTGTGCTAAATATATTGGTACAACATTGATTACTGAAATGGAAAACGAATCACTGATTATGACTACCCAGGCAGTGCATGACCTCTGCTACGCTACAGTCAATACAATCATCTTATGGTCAGAATCCATACTTTGCGGTATTCTCGTGATAACATATTGTATTATATTATCATATTTATATAACTATGTTTTATACTTGATGCAATCATGCATGGCATGGCAAAAGCATAAAAAGAAATTAACAATTTTACGTAATTGAAATGCACAAATGTAACAAAAGTACTCAACATATGTAAAACAAAAATAGTTTATTGGGTTTATTTATAGTTTTAAAAAATAAGTGATTTATACACTTTTGAAAGGAAAAACTGGTCGGAGTTGGGGTGGCGTAGGAGACTGTATATTTCAATGGTTTTGGGTTAAGTTTCACCATTTTACCTGTGTTATATTCAAAATGATGACCAAACTACACCTCTCATCTACACCCCTCATCTACACCCCTCATCTACACCAATGCCAATTATCAACACAAGTGACATGATTACATCTGTGATACATTGACTGGCACTTAATAATTAGTTCCTCAATCATAAGGGCAGCTATTAAACTAGTGAGATAAGATCTCCACACCTTTTGATAACCTGTATTATTAAATTCAATTAATTGATTGGGTGAGTAAGAGAATTATGCTGTCAGCATACAAACATGATAAAATTAAAACAATTTTTCATGAGACAGAATAAGGAATTAAATTTGGCAATGCCCAAACAGATGGGTTCAGTCAAGCAGTCTCTCTCTCGGCTGAGATAGCTCCGCTGTTAGCAATGCACATTTCAATTAAAGAACAGAAGATATCATTAGAAAATGAACAATATGTATAATATCAAAGCAATCAGACTTGCTGTTTTCAACAAGAATTCGAAAATATCACTTTTTACCAAAAATATTCATCAAAATTAGAGAATATGTATAATATAAAATCAATCAGACTTGCGTTTTTTTACAAGAAGTCAAAAATATCACGTCTTACCAAAATTGACAATTGACAGCAGATATCATCACAAAATTAACAAATCTAATTGAGGTCCAGATTTTCTTGAGTTTAGAAGTATTGAACAGTTTAACACTGGTTAATAAGTGAAGAGGAATTTCAGTGCTAGTGAAATATTGCTGACAAAATAATATTTGTTTTACAAAATCAGAATTTTATAATTTATTTGAATTTCAATAATCAATAAAGCCATAAATGTTACATATAAACCTAAATATTTATAAACATAAACAGCAGGTACGGGTGTGTGCGGAGACGTCACAGATTTAGCAAACTCATAGAGTAGGTAATGGTGAGGTGCAAAAGTGTTGAATAATCACAAATAGTCACTGACTGCAGCTGTCTGATAGATACACAAGCACTTTGCAAAATTGAAGCAGGTGTCTACCTAGCCAATCTAATTGACTTGTTTGGATTTTAATGAGACTTTAAAGAAAAACAGTTGGGTAATAGTAATTCGTAACTATAAACATGTGTATATGTAGTTTAGCATATAGCTTTAAAATAAAATAAACTTTATGGGGGGGGGGGATAATTGGCACATTGTTAGTAACAATAAAAAAGATGATAAAAAACAGATTGTTTAGAGCATTATAAAGTTGTTATATATAACTTGAAGAGCGCTGGTTGTCGCGCAGCGCGTAATCAAATTTCATGTAAGCAATGTATTTTACACACACGTTGTATTCATCGCTAGAGTTCCATATCGAACAGGGGAAGCGGCACAACAATCACCGCTCTTTAATATAGTGATCTTACATAGTAAGAAGAAACGCATGCACGAGACCCATTTGGTGCAATGGGAATGCAAAAAAAGTAGTAAACAAATTTCCTGAGAGTTCCTCTGGGCAAATAATGTCAGTCTAAACCATGCCATGTCTCAAGTTGCAGTTTCTTGGATTGTCGCTTTGTAATTTTATCATTTTAGAATCCCAGGCAATTTTACATGGCAGATCAGAAATCTACAACTATTTCATTTGTCTATACATTCGAATGAAACCCACCTCTCCACCTCAGGTGTCATTTTAGCATGCAGCAAGCACAGTTTTTAAAGTCCTGACACCATTACCTGTACAGCTTAGAGCACTGTTTATACAGGTCTTTAAGTTAAAACATGTGTTCTCTTCAATTTATGGTTAAGATTTTAAATTTGACATCAAATAGAACATAATACCTTGTTAAAACCTTGTATCTAAAGGACTATTATACCTTGTTATAAAAATACACTTGTCTTAAAAAAATATTGTGTTCCTTTCAGATTGATATATATCTATTTAAACATATCCTACAATAGTCAAGGTAACCATACTTTACCTGGCACATATTAGTACTGGCCCCAGTAACCCCCTCCCCACTCCCCCACAAATGTGGAACTCACATGTCAGTACTTACCCTGGTACACCCTGATTGGAAGTCAGTATTTTGTTTGTGAAGACAGTTGGATATGCAAAATTCGGATAGTTTTGGTGTTGCGCAACATTGACAAAAACTTTCAAATGGCGAGATACACCACAATTAATCACATAAAGTGTGTCTGTGAACAACAAGGTATTTATTATGGATCAGAACAATAGAGTTAATTTCAGTTTTCGGTGTAAATTCCACGCAGACAGTGTACAACCGAATTACAGAGTGAAAAAGATTGCTAAAACATTTTCATCAGAAGTGTTTAGCCGCTATACGCAACTGACTACGTTAATGCCTTGACCCATCATCTTGAGTTCACTGACAGAGCATTCACACGTAACCACACCAGCACCAGCTCTACAAATACTAATGGGGGATACAGTCTCCCATCTGCAATTAAAGACATGATGAAAATCAAGATTACATTTTCAGTGATGGTATAAATTAGATGGCTTTTAACTCATGATAATTTGTACAAAGATAGGTGGTCATCACAGAAATGTACCCCTTAGTAATCATTCTTTGTTGACTTACACTTCCTGTATTAAGCATTACAGTCATTGCTTTCCTATGTACAAGTGATAATTTTACATGCAAGGGTATCTCGCAATAAGCATTGTATGCATTGATTATATTAAGTCCAAAACAAGGTTTCACTCCTTCCATTGCGTGTGCGACAGTTTGCAACCTGCATCTTACATTTTGCAATATTTGCATACTGATGAAGTTTGAAACTCACAGTAGAATGAAGAATAATTATCTTTTTTTTGTTTTAGATCAAAACAAACTTTTAATGTGTGTATTTAAATGCATTGTTTAATAAATGTTAAAGGATGGTGGTCGTCATGCCATGCATTCATGAAATATGGGTCTCATATAAACAACGATGGCGACTTTGACTATTGGGCAGATCAACAAGTACAAACTGAGACGTTTCCAAGTTTTAATTAGGTCATTTCTTTTTTGGTGAGTGGAAGGTATCGAAGAATTCACCGACGGTAATTTGTGCAAAAGACGCCCAGTTCAAAACTGGCACTGATGATTTTATTAGAAAAGTGCATTGGATTGTGGGAAAATCAATGTTTATCAACACAAATGTCGCACATGCACGGCGCGGTGACCACCGTCATTTAAACGTCTTCTTGTTGTGGTTTTGAATAATCTTAACAGCTAAACCCTTTTTTTTTTGCGCTTGAACAAATTTACACCTGACAATCTGAAATACTTAGTATTTTTACCTGCTGGACACAGGATCAAAGCATTCCACGGAATTCAAATATGAAGAGCCGTCATGTCCACCAACTGCATATATCTTACCACCGAGGGCAGTCACACCAACACCACCACGTGCACTGGCCATCCTTGGAACAGAACTCCAGGTGTTAGACTGTGGGTCGTAACATTCCACCGTGTCTAGCGGTGAATTATCATCAAATCCACCTGTAGTTAACAAAATATTATGCAAATTAATCATACACATTTGGAGTAAAAAAAACATGGCATAACGGCTAGACTAATCAACCACAATCATGTTGCAAACATTGGTTTGGTTAAGACTGATACAAGGCCAAGAAAATTTACATATTGAATGGTGTATTAACAGAGTTAATTTTATGCATGGAATACCAAAATAAATTATGCAGTATCTTTATATATTTTTTCAGACCATTATTAGGTTTAACAGAATTCAAATTTTGTGCAGAGAATCTCAACCATAATGTCTACCATTGACATCATCTGTGGCTGTTAAATGAAATACATGAAAAGATTCACTCCCAAAACAAGATCTCCATAGTATCCTATTTTTTGTTTGTTTTTTAAACCTCTCTTTTATTTTGTGTTAATTTTCAATTGTGTCTACATCTATCAAATGAAAGGTCAAGGGTCAAACAGAACAATAACACTAGCGTACAATAATACTAATTATTGTACTGTAAATGCAGTTAGACAATTTTAACATAACTTGTGGACTGTGTAGATCTTTTTCTATCACTACAACTGAAGTACCAGTAAACATAGTTATATATGAGTAAAACCATATGGAACTTAAATTATCTTTACATAATATTGTTGTCATATTTGTTATATTAGAGGTGCATCTCCATCATACAGACTAAAAATTACATGTGTTGTAAACTGAAACTAACATTGACACACTTATATGTAAGCGGCTGTGCTACTAATGGAGCAAATACAGTATTCCAAATTTGCTCACCAACAGCATAAATGAGTCCATTCATAGTAGCCATACCAGCACCGGCTCTCCTTGTTGTCATCTTAGCAACCTCTATCCATTTATTGATGTGCGGATCATACTTCTCACATGTATTCAAAGACGTAGCACCATCATTACCACCAACTGAGAATCAAAGACACAAGTAAACTCAGTATTTATTTAAAGAAAAAAACAACAACAAAAAATGTCTGTCTACACAAACATCACCAGAGCAGTGGATAACTTCAGAAAATCACTTTATTTCAGAATTTCAGAATTGTGAAAAAAACAAACATGACAACAGAAAAATTTATTCATTTTATAATACATTGTACTCCCGGACAATATAAAGATATTATTATATTACTGAGTATATAATAATTTTTGAGAAAATTATATTTGTTAGTGGACAGTTGCCATTATGTCAGTAATATAGTATAGGTTTCCATGGCAAAGATATTATGCCATATCTCATAGGATGAAAAAATAATATACTGTGAATAATGGGGTACTTATTGTTTTTTTGTATTATTTCTAAAATTTGTGTTATAAAAAATATCAAAAAATGCAATTTTTCTTCAACATTGTTTTCTAAGGAATTGTTCTAAAATAGCGTGTTTTTTTTTGAAAAATTACAAGTTTCTCAAAATATATCACTGTAGCACAGAAAAGGATGCCATTGGACAATAGATTTTACATAATAATAAACCAATAAACATTGTCATGCGATTCATAACCAACTTTCTCATAAATTATCAGTAGGCTTCTGCTTCTAATAAAATCAAGTAATTGTGATGTACTCACTTGCAAAAATACAATTCAGAAGCGGCACTACACCGACACCTCCACGCGGACAATTCATAGGGGCCACAAAATCCCACTCATCTGAGGTAACATCATAGCGCTCCACGTCACTATAGCAACCACCTTCATCCAAGCCACCGATAGCATAGATTGGGCCATTCAAATGCGTCACTGCACAGCCTCGTCTGCATTTAGAAAACAGTAATCTTTTACATAGGGTAAGATATGAACGCAATTTCTGGGGCAGAAACATTTTCATTGGGCTGCGCAAAATCTGTTCTAGACATACTTGAGAACAAAAAAGATCCAACGCTTTGTTTCATTATATTGCCAACATTTACACATGATAAATGTGTGTACTGTACTATGCTGTAATGTTAAGTGAGTGACACAAGAAAGCCATCAGAGATTTCAGATCACCCAGGCAACCTGGCATGACTTTGTATAGTAATTGTGTTGGGTATTTAAGGTAGCGAGAAGGGAAATTTTCACTTTTTTCTTGATTTTTCAAAAATTGATAAAACGGTTACTTTAGACCTTGATACATCACCCCAGGTTTACAAAAGATCGAAATTGCAAAATAACGTTGCTCAAATTAGTGTTTTAAAACACTAGCAGAAAACTGGCGTTTCGTGGATATTTGCATAATGTTTATCTTTGAAAGGGTTTAAATGATAACATCTTATCTGCATACTCTGTTGTTGACGATTCTGATATAACGGGTGATAAGCTTCCAGTTGCAAACAATGCGTGTTTATCTAATGTCCATTGTCAGCATTATTGTCAGTCGAGACTTCGTCGAAGAAACATGGTCATTTGGTGGCCAGTCGATGAACAATTCAAAACTCAATATTCACACGGAAGTCCTTCAGGGCTGAAAATCATCGACGCTACTCTGGTTTACTTTATTTCACAACTTGCAGAGAAAAATGATTCGCGTGAACTCTAATGTATCTTAGCCTAGTATTTTCTTTTTGAACTAAGGTCAAATTCCATCAGTTTGTCCAAATATATGTTTTTCAGCGAATAATTTTGAAGCCTGTCACAGCACAAAAAACTATGTGAATCGACGCCGGTGATTGGATTGTACGACGACCCTTCAATTAGCGTCAAATATGCTTTGTTACAACATCATTGATTGGCTGAGAGTCACCTGATCGGAGCACGACCTGGGTCACAGAACCATATTTGTCCGTATTATCAACAGGACTTTGCAAAATAGCCACACCCACATTTTCAATCTTTTTTAGCGCGGAAGTTGCCAACAAATGTAAAAAAAAATCGCGAATTTCATGGATTCGAATAAAATAAAGCAAGCGATTGATAAGGATGATTATTAATATTTTCCCCGATGCTCTTCGAATTTTTATTTTTTTTTGTTTCAAGGTAAGAAATGGCTAGTTGAAGTTGCATCGTCTTCAATGCGGTTGTTTCACCGCGAACAACTCTTAGACTAGCTCTGTTTTGGGCATGGTTTAGTTTTGCGATGTAAAATAAAATATATATTAAAATAATAATACTTAATTAATTATTTGGGGTTTCAGCCCACAATTACGGACATAATCTCCATGAATTACGGTCAATGTTTGTCTTCTCTCGGCTGATTGTTGATCGACGCCCTTCCTAAACTCAGTATGGAGAAACCAACGGGGATCGACATTCCAAACAAACAATCGAAATTATCAACGAAAGACGAGATTTTTCTAGATATTTACAAACATACTGTCATGACAAACATATGTAAAATTAACAAATACACAAAGAGGTGTAATATAGGTTTTATTTTAGGCTTAGAAATATTTTCTTTCACTCAGCCCATGCATGATAACTGCCATTTAGCTTTACGGTCTTCAGCATCGGGGGAAAACAACAATAATTATACAAAACACATTGCGAAGACTCAACAATCACGAAAGAAACCCCAGACAACCATGTCGTACTTGTGTTGAAATACATTTTGTATTTCACGTCAGATATTGTTTAAATAAAATATTCAG